AGTTGTAGGAGGCAGAGCTATGCATGGCCTACAAATGTGGGGGCTGGACTTTGATTTAATTCAATTTAGCAAACATTTATTGAAAACCCACGATATGCGAAGCACCCCAAAAGATATTGTGGTTTTATAGAATGAGAAAAACACAAAACACATGCAGTTTTAAAGGATAGAAATGGCATATATCAGATGGAGGAAGGTAAGTGGGAAAACAATTCCACAAGCCAACAGAGTAGTCCCCAAAGGGCTGTTTTCACTCTGACAAAGAGAAACACTACTGTTATTCTGACCTGTTTCTTGGTTGCAAAAAATAGAACCATGAACGTTACTCTTCTTCTGATTACAATTTTAAAGCATTGTCAGTGGAGTAAATATACATTAAAAGCAATAAATAAATATTTAAACTCTAGGAAGATTGCAGACTTTTAGTGATGCTATAACAGGAAAAACCAACCAATGAGACAGTATTTCTGCTTGCTGAAAGATCTAATTGATGTTTATAAAGTGCTCTGAGAATGCAAAATACTGCAGAAGTTTAGGATATTATTCCCACAGATCTTCAAGTAGACAAGGTCTTGATATTCTTATAATCACAGCAGGAGTTGTTCATTCCCCATGTAATTTATGAGGAGAAAAAAATAATAAACCCTATCCTCTTCATGCTTGATTTGTCAGTTGTTCTCGTTATGTGTAACTGATCCTCAAGAGAACCTTCATTTAGACAACTATTTATTCTACTCAAATATTATTTTGACATTTGGTAATTACTAAAGATTTTGTACATCTGTCTTTCCCAGAAGAGAAGGCACTAAATGCTACTTGGATGATCATTGGCTTTGCAGGAACTCAGATTTGACATTATTCCTTTGGTAGATAACATGGCTTCGGGAAAGTTTCCAGTTCTGGGACACACAGATTGTGCATTTCATTACTCATGGGGTCTGTGCCACCCTGATATTAGATATTTCATAAAATAAGCTATTGGTTAAAAGAAGACTATCATAAACTGGCCTTTCTCAATGTTCCACATGTATTTTTAAGTAACTAAGATATCTGAAAATTTTCAAAAACAAAAGTAAGAAACTAGAAAAGAGGTCAGAAATTTCTTAGGAACCTCTTTTTACAACCCTCAAGTGGACCCCTCCCAAAGGTAAATAAGACCCCAAAGATCAGGATCGGGAAGGAGAGTTACATTGACAGTGAGGCAGATACTTTCAGAATTGCTGCATACTGTTTTCGCATGTAAGCTTTTTTCCATATCAAATATGACGGATAGCAGCTTCTTTTACTGTGAATTTTCATTTGTGGTCATTAGTTCTACTGGGTCCAATTCTCCTGTGTTAGGTTTTGCAGATTTAAATTTTGACATCAAGATTTGATTATTCTGTCTAATCAGTAATAAATTTTAAGGTATTTAATTTTAGCTATTGCCAATTATATTTTTATTTGTTATTTCAACCAAAATATTGTAAATCAGAAAAGAAATATATTCTTTTTAAACTGATGTCTGAATAAACTGTGAACAATTTTGTGAGGTAGAAAGACAAAGAAAACTGGAAGGAGAAAGGGGAGATGGGGAGAGGCCAGGATGGGGAAGGCAGAAGGTAGGAGGAAAGAGAAAAGAAAGAGTGATGTCATGGTGAGAAGATGAGAGGCGGGCCTAGAAAAGAGGCAGACCGGGTAAGGAGTTGGGAAAGCAGGAGATCAGAGGAAAAAGGGAGTTTAAAAATGTTCTGGAATAAAGAAGGCGCAATGGCAAAGTCAAACCATCCACTTTTTTATACCCTACCTCTTCATGGTAGGAGGTCTGGGGATTAATTTATTTTTCTCTTCACTGCCTGGCACAGTGCCTGGCATGATATAGGTACTCAATAACCATTTGGTGAGTTAGTAGATGTTAATAAATCAAGTCAGCCTCCTTGCTGTTCCTTGAACACCCAGGCTCCCTTCTCTTCTTGGAATGTGTCCCCAGAGATTTGCTTGGCTCACTCCTTCACCCCCTTCTGTCCTCCTATTCAATCATGCCGTCCCTGAGCAGCCAACAAGCAACTGCAGCTACACCATACTCCCCGGCTCACCAACATCCTCTAACTCTACTCCCCCGCCCCCACCCAGCACTGATCATCCTTTACATATCATATGGGTTTGCTTATATGTTGTATTTATGGTTTATTGTACATCTCCCTCTGCTAGAATGTAATTTTCATAAGGGATGGGATCTTTGCTTTAGTTACTGATTCATCCCAAGCCCCTAGAATAATACCTGCACACTATTGGCAATCAGTGGATATTTGTTGCATGAATGAATTGACCTAGTAATAATATATGTCCATGTTTTCTCTTGTTCTCTTTCTCTCCCACTCTTTCTCTCTTCCCCTTCATGACAGTTGACAGAGAACCACTTACTTCTTTCCTAACTTGTATTTTACTTCATTTCAATCTCAGCTGCACTGCGGCAACATCCTGCATGCATGGCCTGCTATTCCCCCAGAGAGTATTTCTGTACATATTATATTGCTACTTCTGCCGGAGAAGGCCTGAATTGATGTCCAAAGAACACATCCCTGGAACATCTAAGAGCTACAAGTCAGCCTGGATCAAATTTACTGAAAAGCTCCTCTACGTATTGATTATTTTATTTGGGTATTAATTATTTTCTTTCTAGGGTAATAGTTAGATAATGGCTTTTTAAGGCAATTTCATGCCATCCCAAATCCTTTTATAGAACTAATTTTCCATGCAGGGGTGGAATTCAAGGCTAATATTATTATTTGGCTTATACTCTGCCCTTTTTCTTGCTTTGTTTAAAAGATGAGTAGGCCCAACAGTAGTGTTAGTTCATCAAAAGGTCTATAAGTTATATTCAGATATTTTGGGGTCAGCAAAACCCCAAGTGTGGTTTATTCAAGTGTTTTTCCCCTAATCCTTAAATCTGTAGATATTTCAAAGTAAACTTAATTCATATGTTTTCCATTCACTTGCCCTTAGGTCTTTACATTTAGGGGAGGGGGTGGTGGCAGGCAGGAAGGCACTATTCTAGGAACCAGCTTCCTTCTTCACTGCCACAGACGGATCATTCATTAGCCACAGACCTGGTTCCTTGGCAGAAGTCCATACCTATATGCTTTCCAGTTCCCTTTTAATTGAAGCTCCTACCTCAGCACACATCAGTGTCACTGCCGAAGAAAGGGAAGTGGAAACAAGCTGCATTTTCTATCATAGAATCACAGAATCCCACAATCTTAGGCTTGTGATTCTAAAGATCATCTGGTCCATATGGCTTAGGATGCTAAATCACCTGCACAGCACCCTGGCTAATTACCTTTCAGCCTCTGCTTTGGTGGTCCAGTGATGGAGCTCCAGCAGCCAACCATGACATGTGGTGGCCTTCAGCTGTAGGGAAGATGCCGGCAGAGAACTGGAGCTTCCGTTCTTTTCTCCAGCCCAAATTTGCCCAGCCCCTTCCTTCATCCATTCGCAGGACTTAATCACCAGTCCTCTATTCCCCTCGTGTTCTCTTTCAAGAGGATTTCACTCTCCCTGTGACTTCGGTCTGCACTGTACGTGGGTCTTTCCCGAGTACTGGCTTCCTGGTCCAGCTACCCATGGGGCATCACACTCTGTATTGGACACAGGACCTTGAGATAAACCTGCTGAAACACAGTCATTACGTTAACCCCTCCTCTAAATCGTGTTACTTGTCTATGTTGCCATCTCAATAATGGCAAGATGCATCTAACAGCCCCTCTTTCAATCATGTCCCCCACAGTTAGGTGACAGGTCCTATCAGTTGTGCTTCCAAAGTAGGTCCCAGATCTTCCCCAGCGACCTCAGTCCCCCATCTCTGCTTTAGTTCAAGATTGTATTATCTGTCAGCTGAGCGGAGGCAACAGGCTCATTGCTCATGCCCCGGCCTCCCCTTCTTTCTTCCCCGGTCCCCTCTCCACATTGCTGCCTGGGTTAGCCTTCTCCAGGTCGTGGAGATAGCAGGACTACATGGATGGGCTCTTGGATCCTCATCTTATCCGCACCCTTCTGTATCCAAGTTACATAGAAAAGTGATCAGCTAAAGAGAAGCATTAATTCATTGGACCTAGTAATATATCTAATTATCCTGCATCTCCAGGTGCCGCTGTTCACACTGCTACTATCTCTATGAATCAGGATACACAGACTGGGCTTAGTAAACACACCTTTCTACACCTGCCCTCTGCCATCACTACACACACTCCTATGTCTTTTTTGCTCGGTTCTTTTTCTCACACCAGGTTAACCCAAAAGAGCCACCCATTTCTGTAGGCTGCATTTCTAAATGGATGTGGACATTTGAGCCACGTGGAAAAGGGGACTGAACCAAAGTGACCTCTCGGGTTTTCTCTGGTTTTATTATTCTGTGAAGACAGTTTAGTGTAAATGATTTATTAGGTTAGTCAGAATGAAGTTCCCTGTTCATCAGTCTTCTTAAATTTCTCTACTGAGTTCCTCTAGTGGGAAACTTATGCCTGTCATGGGAATTCATGAGGTTGACAATGGAACTACACAGATAGTGCCATGCCTGCCCCATAGTAGGCCCGATACATGTAAATCTTATGAAATAAAATAAAATAAAATAACATAAAAATCTCCCCATAGCTAATGATTTTAACTGATTATCATATAGTAAGTAGCAAGTTAGTGTCAATCTCTATCTAAAGCCTTAAGGAAAAATGCCCTGCTGGAAATCTTGTATTTTTAGCAACACTGAATTTATAGATACTCCTAACATAAAAAATTAATGAAATTCCTTAAAAGCTTATATAAAATGTAAGATATTTATCCTGGGACAGAGAATTCAAATCTTTCTTATTTTTAAGCATTTCCCCTGAGTTGCACCTATTGGAAAGAGCTTTGCTTAAACTCAGAATTTGACTGCTAATATTCACACATACGGCAAATATGAACTAATCAGACCACAGATATTTTGCTGCATTCCACAGTGTCTCATTTATTTGTTTAATTTGCAGCTATAGCAACTGGATTCCACCACTCTATGCTTTTACACAGCTCTACAATATGATCAGCTTGGTTGAAGTTTGGCACTCGATGCTGTGCTCAATTGAAGACATATGCACAACCTCACTTACCACATTTTTTAACCTGTTTTCACACTGGGTGGATCTGTAATATTTGCATAAAAATATGAAAAGCAACCTTCCGCAAGGAGAGTAGGCAATTAAAAGATGTTGCGACCTTCTTTTACGCAGCATTTCAAAGCTTAACGTTTTCTTGGCGTGCTTTGCAAACGCCCATCTGACTTTGAAGCAGGCTGCCTCTCCACAGCTCCAGCAATGACTAAAGAATTGACCTGGTGCCATGCATGCTGCTCTGCACAAGAAGGGCATTTGGAAATGACCTTGAAGTGGAGTTGTGCCAAGTTAATGAAATACGGGGCCTTGAAGAAGTGCCATTTCACGAGAGATATACAGATGGGTATTTACAGCATTGTCAAAACTCAGCCCTTTAATTTGGTATTAAATTACCATGAGTTTTTAAGCTACATAAGGAATGATGCTCAATCTTGATTTTATTAGTTGCACTTTGTAACAGGTTGGAAAAATTAGGTAATGGAGAAAATTGGCATCCCACTGTTGTTTTTCTTAGGTGATTTTTTTCAAACATTTGCTGAAGAAAAGGGAGATGCTTAAAGGGTACAATTTTAAATAGGGAGATGGGAGTTTAATATAAAGAATGAGCTGCAAATGAGGATGAAGTTAGTGGACAGAGAAAAAATGAGAGAAGTGGTATCTCTCTTTACTTGTGAACTGCCCATTGATACGATTCCAACTCACCAGATTTAGGCTCCGGGAGGGGGGCATTTCTTTATCTCAGTATGCACACCCATAGAGTAAACAGTTGTTGCTGTTTAAACATGTTAATTGATGTTGACACCAGTTGTTGCTCTATGGTTTTCCATTTTACTGAGTGATGTTTTTATGCTGGTGCATAATGTTGCCTGATTGTACTTTGCATGCTGGTGAGGTTGGCTGACATTTCCCGATCTGTATAACATGAAGCTGTGCTTTAAGCTTATTTGGAAGTCGGGGTTGATGTGACATTGGAAGGTCCCCTTCAGCTTTCCTGGCTGGACCTCTTTTCCACAACCATGGTGAGGGCTGAGACAGTCCAAGTTTGGGGCAGTCAAGGTGGGACAGCAGGAGAGTGTTGGAAAACAAATCATATATTCTCTTAAGCCAGCTCTCAGATTTTTATACAGAATGAGATTCTGCATGACTATAAAAAAGTAAATTAATAAATAAGACCATTCAACCCCTCTAGAGCTCTATAAGGGGACTGTAAAAGATCTCTTGCCATTCTTATTGTTAAATTCTGATAATCTTCATGAAGTAATTCTGGGAAACATACATCTATACGATCAGAGAAGCAAACTGTCAACAGCAACTTCCTAGAACATTCCTTTTTACTTTATCTTGGATTTTTCAATATAAAATTTGGTATTTCTGTAGTTTAAACCAAATTCACTAAAATGAAAGCATTTTTTTCCTCATAAGCTCAAACCTTCCAGACTCATCATTTTGTAGTTACATAAATAAGCCGTGCAACTAAACTAAAAGTCGAAATTAGAGATTATAGTTGTTTGTACAACTGTTCACATTTTATATATTATAGTAACTTATGTTAAAACCAGTAATGTATTTGCAGAAACAGTTTTTGCTTGCAGTAATTTATATTGAAATCAAGCTTGATGATTTTTCATTCAGTTTCGCTAAGTATCATATACTAAATTATTTGCTTGTGTTTTCTTTTTCCCTATTACTGATATCTGGTGAGTTTGCTTGAAAAATTCTGACACAGGAAAATCAGAAAGATTTCATTATCTTACTTTATTTTCTTTATTGATCTGTCTTAAAGGGATTTGCTTTTCTTAAAGTACAACATTATTTTTTAACTTTTAAAGCTTTTTAAAATTTTTATATATATTTTTTATTTCAGCATATTATAGGGATACAAATGTTTAGGTTACATATATTGCCTTTGCCCACCCGAGTCAGAGATTCAAGCATGTCCATCCCCCAGACAGCGTGCACCGCACCCATTAGGTGTGAATATACCCATCCCTCCTTCCCCCTCTCACCTGCCCAACACCTGATAAATGTTACTACTATATGTGCACATAAGTATTGATCAGTTAATACCAATTTGATAGTGAGTACATGGAGTGCTTGTTTTGCTATTCTTGTAATACTTCACTTAATAGAAGAGGCTCCAGCTCTATTCAGGATATTGTAAGTGGCGTTAGATCACCATTGTTTTTTGTGGCTGAGTAGTATTCCATGGTATACATGTACCACATTTTATTAATCCACTCGTGTATTGATGGGCACTTGGGTTGTTTCCATATCTTTGCAATTGTGAATTGTGCTGCTATAAACATTTGGGTGCAGATGTCTTTTTTATAGAATGTCTTTTTTTCCTTTGAGTAGATGCCCAGTTACAGGATTGCTGGATCAAATGGTAGTTCAACTTTTAGCTCTTTGAGGTATCTCCATATTACTTTCCACAGAGGTTGTACTAGTTTGCAGTCCCACCAGCATTGTACGAGTGTTCCTATCTCTCCACATCCATGCCAACATTTATTGTTTTGGGACTTTTTGATAAAAGCCATTCTCACTGGAGTTAAGTGATATTTCATTGTGGTTTTGATTTGCATTTCCCTGATAATTAGAGATGTCGAGCATTTTTTCATATGTCTGTTGGCCATTTGTCTTCTTTTGAAAAGTTTCTGTTCATATCCTTTGCCCACTTTTTAATGGGGTTGATTTTTTTTCTTGCTGATTTTCCTGAGTTCCATATAGATTCTAGTTATTAGCCCTTTATCAGAAAGGTAGCATGTGAATATTTTCTCCCATTCTGTAGGTTGTCTGTTTGCTCTTGTGATAGTTTCCTTGGCTGTGCAGAAGCTTTTTAATTTGATCAGGTCCCATTTATTTATTTTTGTTGTTGCTGTGATTGCCTTTGGGGTCTTCTTCATAAATTCTTTCTCTAGGCCAATGTCTGTTAGGGTTTTTCCAACATTTTCTTCTAGAATTCTTATAGTTTCATGCCTTAGGTTTCAGTCTGTTATCCACCAAGAGTTGATTTTTATGAGAGGTCAGAGGTTCAGATCCTGTTTCAGTCTTCTACATGTGGCTATCCAATTTTCCCAGCACCATTTATTGAATAAGGATTCTTTGTATCACCACTTCTATTCAAATAGTGCTGGAAGTCCTAGCCAGAGCAATCAGACAAGAGAAGGAAATCAAGGGCATCCAAACGGAGAAAGAAGAGGTCAGACTGTCACTCTTTGGTGATGATATGATCTTATATCTAGAAAACCCCAAAGATTCTGCCATGAGACTACTGAAATTGATGAACAAATGCAGCAAAGTCTCAGGTTACAAAATCAATGTACAGAAATCTGTAGCATTTCTATATGCCAACAACAGTCAAACTGAGAACAAAATCAAAGGCTCAATACCCTTCACAATAGCAACAAAGAAAGTAAAATACCTAGGAATATATTTAATTAAGGAGGTAAAAGACCTCTACAGGGAGAACTACGAAACACTGAGGGAAGAAATAGCAGAAGATGTAAGCAGGTGGAAAACCATACCGTGCTCATGGGTCAGCAGAATTACCATTGTTAAAATGTCTGTATTACCCAAAGAGATCTACAGATTCAATGCAATCCCTATTAAAATACCAACATTATTTTTCACAGATGTAGAAAAAATAATTCTACGCTTCGTATGGAACCAGAGAAGACCCCGTATAGCAAAAGCAATCTTAAGCAAAAAGAAAAATTTGGGAGGCATCAATTAACAGACTTCAAGCAATACTACAAGGCTATAGTAACTAAAACAGCATGATACGGGCACTAGAACAGAGACATAGACCAATGGAACAGAACTGCAAACCCAGATATAAAACCATCCTCATATAGCCATCTAATCTTTGGCAAAGCAAACAAAAACATACACTGGGGAACTTTTAAGTTTTTAATTGAAGAACACAGTTTCCCTTATAGCCCTCATTCTTGATTTAAAACCCTCTTACATTAATATGACTGATTTTGGAAGTATTTCCTAAAATGCTTCTCAAATTTCTTAAATAAAAGCAGGAATATGTCTTAGTCTGTTCTGGCTACTGAAACAAAATACCATAGACTGGGTAGCTTATAAACAATCTAAATTTATTTCTCACAATTCTGGAGGTTGGGAAGTTCAAGATTAGGGTGCAACATGGTTGAGTTCTGGTGAGGGCCCTCTTCCAGGTTGCAGACTGCTGATTTCTCACTGTGTCCTCACATGGCTGAAGGGGCCAGGAATCTGTCTGAGGCCTTTTTTAAGAGGGCACTAATCCCATTCATTTAGGACTCCATCCTAGTGACTTAATCACCTCCCAAAGGTCCACCTCCTAAAACCATCACCTTGGGGGGTTAGGGTTTCAACATGCAAATTTTGGGGTAACACAAACATTCAAACCATAGCAGGAAAAATAAAGGAAAGTGCAGCAGAGAATATCCACCATAAGGAGCACTATGACTTCTGGTATTTAATGTCATAGATCACAGAACACAGGAGTCAAGAGGCAGACTAGAAAGAGAAGACCCAGGCCAGTGGAGACTCCTTGTTTCCCTGCTGCCCTGCTGACCTCAGAACTTAGCACTGCCTTTATCTTCCTGGTGATATTTTTCATTTATCTTTTTAGTAAACATTTTAGATATGAGGGAAGTGGGGAGCTTATCATTATCCAGTCTAATCAGACAATATCTTCACCTTTAAGCCATATTTAGAATCTCACTATCCCATTTTCTTAGAATCATGTGAGATTATTTTTGTGTCTGTGAATAAACTGTACAGCATTTTCTTATGAAAAACTTCATTCTGCATCTTGGCATGGCTTCTCCAGTTGAACAGGGACCTTCTTTCCAAAGCCCTGGGTAAGGACTTTCTCAACCTGTCTTCTAACATCATGGGACCTTGTACTCTTTGCTTTCATGTCTTATCTTTGAAAACTATCTCTCAAACCTTTTCTACGTTATCTTCATTTTTATTTGTACTAGCACACAGGGGTCAAAGAAATATGAGCCGCATTGAAAACTCTTTTCCTTTGGAAGCCAGCCTCATCTGTAAAGATCTTAATGATGCTTTTGTCTTTTCATGCCATTGAAGTTGCATATTAATACAACCCAGGTGAACCCTAGTTGGCCCAGGTTTCACACTCAGAGATTTTGAATGATTCGATCTAGGATGGGACCAGGACACCGTCTATATTTTTCTTAATGCTCCTTTACCTGATTCTGAGCTGGGTTTGAGGATCTTTGAATTCATTTGTCTCTCAGGCATCCTTGGGGTTCAAGAAAAGTGGTTAATGGAAGAACACAAAGAGGGCGATGTCTAGAGCTGAGCTGAATGAAGATTATGGCAAAGAGACAAACCTGAGTAAATGTGCATATCCAGGCACACTTAACTCTTACCGGTTGATTACAAGGTAGCATCTCTGCTTAAGTTTCTACAGCAGTAAAATACTGGCACCATCTCAAGATGCCAAGAAAAATGAATTAATATTAACATTTATTAGAAGATTAAAGCATAATACATATGTCAATTAACATTAATCCTTAAAAATATTTATGGAGTTAAATTGTCTATAACTAATTGAAGATTGCAGTTAACAGAGGATATGGGTTTCCTCTGAGTTATATGAAATAAAATATAAATCTTTTATGTAACTCTATTTCCTACAGAAAGGATTGTTACTTGTCAGTGGGATTTTTTTAAGTTTTATTTTATTTTCTTGGATCTCATTACTTTTCCATAAATCTTATAAGCAGAATTACAATGAGGTGAGTCATAGTCTTAACACTTTTTTGAAGCTTCTTCTGCCAAAGCAGCTTGGAATATAGAGTATTTTCAAAAGCTATGTTTGGGAACATGGGAAGGGAAGGGAATGGAAGGAAGGGCAGGATGCAAGGAGGGAAGGAGAGAGGAAGGAAGGAAAGAAGGAAGGGAAGGAGGCAGGGAGAGAACAGAACATTTTACTTTAGATTGCATGTTTTTAAAACTTAAAGGCATTTCATGGCATCTCACGGATATGTTTTAGACAA